AATAACTGGGGAATCTCATTCTTACAAAAAATATAATGATCTTTTTTTAAACTGTTAGAATGTCCTTTTTAAGACCTCATGTTTAATTCAAAGCCTACTTTTAATTTTTATGAGCTACTCATTCAAATCAATACCTGGGCTTTTGCCTGAGAAAACCATAGTATGTAAAATTTGGCATAATTTAAAGGGTGGGCTTATGCTCAAGAAACTATGGTACATGTTAGTACATTTGATTAAAACAATTTTACTTCGCTAGTAGTTAAAATATTCTGAGAGGGGCAATTAGTTTATGTTTTGGCATGATTAATCTGACCGTGACAGGCTGCCATCGCAATACATTTTTCTGAATAATAGTATATGATAAGCAGTGACAAAAGTTCGCGCTCCCCAAAAATCACTTCATATCACCATACATTGCTAGCTAGCACCCCCTCACTTAATCATCGAGACTTCACCCTTCATTCCCCACATTTCACTCCTACTGTAGATGCTGTGCAGACGTGGCTGTATTAGTCCAAAGAAAGATCTCTTACCATATCGACGATGTACTGATCATATTTAATTAAAATTTATCTTTCCTCAACAGAGAATCTAATTCTGATCTATCAGGGTTTAATAGTGATATTCTTGAGTATGTATTGGAAGAAAGTGATAGAGGTAAGTATAATGTACTTTGCTACTACTATTTATTATTTACTAGGTAGCCTTGTCAATCCTGAGACAGGAAACAGTTACATCATATAATAGTCTCCATTCTGATCTCAGTGACCAAATATAGGACTGTTTTCAGCCAATAGGAATTGGTTTTCTTTATCACCACAATGCAAGCTTTGTACAAAGGTTTCTATGCTGATAAGCATAGTTTAAATAAACATTGTGGGAACTTCTGTTAGAAGGCTCTTTACAGACAATAAATTTTTATATTTTTTAGCATCCCCTGGCAGTGAGCTGAGACGACCATTAACAGCATGCAGTAGTCGAGATGGAAGGGAAACTCCCATGCGAATGACGCCCTCTAGCGATGGAGATTAGTAAGAATAACACATTCCATTGTTTCTTATCAAATAGTAGTAATAATAATAATAGTAATGCACATGATATTGATAAAATTGCATATACAGTATATAAATATATACTATATATATA